CTCCCAAGTAGCTGGGACTACAGGCATGCGCCACCATGCCTGGCTAATTTTTTCTATATATTTTTAGTTGTCCAATTAATTTCTTTCTAATTTATAGTAGGGACGGGGTCTCGCTCTTGCTCAGGCTGGTTTCGAACTCCTGAGCTCAAAACAATCCGCCTGCCTCGGCCTCCCAGAGAGCTAGGATTACAGGCGTGAGCCACCACACCCGGCCTAGATGTGCAGTTTTAAATGTTAGAGTATGATGCATAGTTCAGATATTTTTTCTCCTGAGTCACTAATATTTTTTTCTTAATGTATTTTATTTGAACAGCAATCTAATTCCTTTTTCTATCGGGTTTTTATTTTAAAAAATAAAATCTTTGAGAAAATTAGCCAAATGAAATTGACATGAAAAGAAATTTTGAAATTAAGATTGAAGTACCTTTAATCATAGTATACATATTTTACTGAGAACACAGGTTTAGAATGAAAGGCTCACAACTTTTAAGTCTGGACCATGATTGCTTCATGTGTTAATATATACCTAGTGGTATAATGTTCTGAATTCATCATGGCTGCTTTTACAATGGAAGCCTTTTAAAATTCTACCCCAGCAGTTTTTCCTGCATCACTAATATAGCTATTTCAGTGCCAGAGTTATACTTCTTGCGCTTTTTGTTCTCTGAATGTAGTTATCAGAGATCTATTTAACTTAAGTAGTTGGAACATCAAGGTGTGTTTCAAGCCCTGTTGGAATACTTAGTTTGGGGTTTTTCTGTGTACATAGAGAATGTTTTTGTTCATAGCATGATTTTGTTTGTTTTACCATACTTCTGAAACTCATTGCCTTGCACTCTTCCAGCTTGATTTTGCATGTTTTTAAAAATTCTTGTCATTCAGATTCTCAATTAGATGTGCTCTATTCTAGATCTTTCATTTTGTACCTTCCAAAATAGATAACTAGAGTAAGCCTGAATCAAGCAGCTTTTGTTTGAATCATCTGGTCACCTCATAGTTGATAAAGTGAAATAAAAATATTAAAATATAGTTTGAAGAAAGAAGTTTTATATCCAGGTGATCAACATTACTTGAACAGTAATGATTAAGATTATTGATTGTTCTCTTTTGTTAGATCTTTAATAACCATGGCTGTTTTTAGAGTATTAGCTTTTTCTCAAGATCTTGAGATGGATCAGCGGCCTAAGGATTGTGGCAGATAACTTACTGTTCTGACTTCTTTCAGATTTCGGCCTATTAAAGGAAGGCAAGAAGAACTAAAGGAAGTAATTGAACGTTTTAAAAAAGATGAACACTTGGAGAAAGCCTTCAAATGTTTGACTTCAGGCGAATGGGCACGACACTATTTTCTCAACAAGAACAAGATGCAGGAGAAATTATTCAAGGAACATGTAAGTTTATTAAGATTAATATTAACCTTTTGAATAAGAGTAGTAAACTAAAAGCCTAAATGTTAGTGAATACTGAAATTTTAAATTGATTTTTCGTAAAATCAGTGTGACAGTCTTGTGACACTTAAGACCATTTGGATGACATCCAAAGAGAAAACTTGTCATCTAGAAATGAAATTCGTTGTGAACTTTTAGAGAATCAAGGTGCTGGGTACTCAAATACGAGTCGAGTATCCCTAATCCAAAAATTTGAAATCAAAAATGCTCCACAGAAATAGGGGAGGAGTGGGGAAAAAAAAATGCTCCACAATTTCAAACTTTTTGAGTGCTGCTCCCATGACACTCAAAGGAAATGCTCATTGGAGGATTTCAAATATTCCAAAACTGGAAAAAATTCAAAATGCTTCTGTACCCAAGAATTTCGGATAAGGGTGGTCAGCCTGTATATGAAATTTTAAAGTAACATTTGTTACTTAATAATCTTACATTTTTTACATTGTTGCTGGTGGTTTGCTTTTATAATTCTGAGAAAGTCTAGCAGGGTGAACAATTAAAAGTCATTATCAATTTTTTTTCCTGTTTTAGGTGTTTATTTACTTGCGAATGTTTGCAACTGACAGTGGATTTGAAATATTGCCGTGTAATCGATACTCATCAGAACAAAATGGAGCCAAAATAGTCGCAACAAAAGAGTGGTAACTATTATGCTAGTATAAACCCATAAAGTAATTTTATTCAAAGTTCTCTTTTAAATTACTGTCAAAGTGCTAAGAAATTCATGGTAAGGAATGAAGTCACAGTTGACTCTGAAGGAGCCAGTGCAGTGCCATTGCTTTGGCCCCTTGACTGGAGTCAGGACAGTGAAATTAAAAGTCTGAGTTGAACCAGATCCCATCTCTAGGCCAAAGTGCTTTTTGTTTGCCCTTTATTGAGTCTGGATGCCTTCTCAGTGATTAGAGTACTGAAAGTTCAGGGTAACCTGGCTTCCAGGGTCAGTCTTTTACTGGCCTCAAAGAGAGGTTGAGGATGAAATCTTAGTGATCCTAGGAGTTCTATGGGTGGAAACATCCTAATGCATTACATGCTTAGAAAAAGTAATACATGTGCTGGCTTAAGTAAAAGTAGAGTTGAACCCAGCCAGGAGGAATAAAAGCCATAGATGAAAGAAGGAATGTGTGACTGTATCTTTTTTCCCATCATGCCTGTTCCCTACCTTATCTCCTAGGAGAAACATGTAGCCCCTTTCATATTACCAATTCCTGGGCGTATTTCTTATAGCAAAAATTTGGGGGCTTGGGCACTTGAAAATGGAATGGGCAAAAGAAAGTTACTCCCAGGCCTCTCACATGGGTGTGAGTACAAGTGTGCTTTGTTTGCCTCAGAGTGTCAAGCCTGCTGATTGGGTCCTGTGGCCCTCTGCATTGCTGATGAAAATACAGGTTTGAGGTCTAGGCTTCTAGAGCCGCACTGTCTAGTACAGTAGCCACCAGCCACATTGAGTCCTTGAATTGTGGCTAGTCTAAATTGAGAAGTGCTGTAAGTGTTATAGACACATCAGATTTCATACTAAATTTTGTTTCTCATTAATAGTTCTTATGTTGATTACCTGCTGAAATAGTATTTTGGATATATTGGGTTAAAATATATTGTTAAAATTAATTTTACCTTTATTTCTCTTTCTTAATGTGGCTGCTGGAAAATTTAAGATTGTGAATTGGCTTATATTACATTCCTAATGGATGGTGTGCTCTAAAGAAGCAGTCCCCAACCTTTTTGGCACCAGGGACCGTTTTCATGGAAGACAGTTTTTCCACGGACTGGGGGGGCATGGTTTTGGGATGATTCAAGCGCATTACATTTATTGTGCACTTTATTTCTATTATTACATTGTAATATGTAACGAAATAGTTAACACACCTCACCGTAGGTTGGAGAGCCGTGCTCTAAAGGGTGGCAGTGCAATTCTTAGTCCTCACAGCCCTTTACTGCCACTGAACCCTGTCTGTTTCATCCAGCAGTCAACAAGTTTAATTCAGTGCAGCAAGTATTTGAGTACTTTCTGTCTACAAAACACCACACTGGGTGCTGCAGAGGATTCAGAGACATGGGTAGCATAGTTCTTGTCCTGGAGGAGTTTCCATTCTCCTGAAAGGATCAGGCAGATACACAAGTAACCATGGTACAAGGCTGTGGGGCTCCAAGGAGAAGAGACAGTGCCCAGGTGAGGATCCAAGCGAGTTGGCTGGAATATACACAGCTAGGTCTTCTCAATTTCTGGTATCTATTGGTCAGGCTTATTTTATTAAAAGAAGCCTTATTATTTATAATTACTAGTAATTTTTAACACATCACATATTTTAAATAGGAAACGAAATGACAAAATAGAATTACTGGTGGGTTGTATTGCCGAACTTTCAGAAATTGAGGAGAACATGCTACTTAGACATGGAGAAAACGACTTCAGTGTCATGTATTCCACAAGGAAAAACTGTGCTCAACTCTGGCTTGGTCCTGCTGCGTTTATAAACCATGGTAAGCTATATTTCTAAGGTGTTAGCACTAGTGTTGGATGGTCCTGCTAACAGAGTGGCCTTAATCAAACTCAGTAAAACCTTTATTTTCCATTAAAGGAGAGTTTGAAATAGGAATGCTTTTTTCACAAATTTATTACAATAAATAACTCCTTTAGTTTAACTTGAGACCTAAACTTCTATCAAAAGTTGTAAAGTTATATGGAAAGCTTATTTCAGATTTCTGTAATTGTTCGTGTTTCAGATCTTATCAACAGTTAATTGACTTTATCTTTTGGACATTTTTCAGATTGCAGACCTAATTGTAAGGTAAGCATAAAAGATTTTTTTCTCAAGTATTTTGTTTCTGCCTCAGGTGTGAGTTTCTTAATGAGGTACTTTTATTTTAGTTTGTATCAACCGGTCGAGATACAGCATGTGTGAAGGCTCTAAGAGATATTGAACCTGGAGAAGAAATTTCTTGTTATTATGGAGATGGGTTTTTTGGAGAAAATAATGAGTTCTGCGAGTGTTACACTTGTGAAAGGTAAAGTATTAAGATTTTCAGCTTTAACTTTTTTTTAACTACTTGACACTGATGAGAATTAACTCACATTATCTCTTCATCATTTAAATGCAGAGATAATCTTTTATGTTCTGTAGCATAACACCCAGTACAGTGTATATCAGCAAAGTCAAACGGTACACACCTATTTAGGGACACTAGCACCTGTCCCTTTAAAATTTTAATTTTACCAGCTGTTTTTATGGGTGGTCAGAGTACAAATCTTAAGGAAAAAACAGGTAATAGCCCACACACATGCACACACACAGTGCCAGGGTGGGGTTGCCCCCTGCTCAAAATGACAAGTGAAGTTCACCACTGATAGTCACGTAAAAACCCTGAAGTTGTCTTGCATGTTATCTAGCTATGTCTTCTGGAATTTTTGTTTCAGTGTACATACTCTTCACAATTCCTTCTATCCCCTACTGTCACTCAGTAAGGAACCTCTTTTTATGGCCCATCAGTATTCTGGAATCCTTATAGAAAACCCCAAAACCCGCTTTGGTAGGATTATCAGTTCGTGTTGCTCATTGTAGTGACTTCTTCACACAAGAGCTCCATGGAGGGAGCTGCTTAAGCTTGTGTGTGTGAGTGCTGCAGGAAGGCTTCCCTTGCAAGGTGGTACAGACTGCACAGGCAACACAGGGACGGAAACCTGTATTAGTTGAGCCCATTTTGTACACCTTCCACTGCGCTGGGCACTGTACTCACCCCGACTCACTCAGTCCTCACAGATATCCTGTGTGAGAGAGAACTGGAGTGTGTGCACGTTGCAGGTACACAAACTTCAGTATCTGGACCCCAGTCAGCCTGACTTCAGAGTCCTTATTCTTTCGTGTCATAATTACTTTTGCAGTTATGAGCAAAGTTATTAATACTCTTCTCCCTCTTAAAACACCCAGTCCACAAAACTACCACGCCAAGGGGAAGAGATGGGCGGACGTCCCAGTCACCATTTCCCTCCTTTCTGGACAGTCAGGGATCTCCAGCTGTGTGGCGAGACAGGGCGGTATTGAGTCATGGTGCTACCTTAGCTGTTTCTCTCCCAGCTTGGGTGGGCTCCTTGCCATGAGTGGATGGCAGGAAACCTATTCCTAATGCTGCTGAATTTTTGCCTTTTTAATCTATGAAGTAGTTTAATTATAGTTCAGTAATGCTTTAAACTCATTTTATAGAGAAAACATAGTGTTACAGTTAAGTGCCTGGAAGCTGGAGTCAGACTGCCTGAGTTGGAATTCTGTAACTCCGCATTTTATTAACTATGTGATGTTGGGCAAGTTACTTAGCTTCTTTGTGCCTTAATTTCCCCATCTGTAAAATGGGGATAACATTAGAAGCTATTCCATAGGGTCAATGTGGGGATTAAATTTATTTCACAGAAAGCATGTAAAACAGCACACAGTTAATACACAAATGTTAGCTATAGAATTATTTTGTGGTTTCTGGTTATTTTCTCATTAGAATAGAAGCTTAATGAAGACAGGGACTTGTATCTGTTTCATTTACTGCTATAACCCCAACATACAGAACAGTACCTGGCACTTAGTAAGTGCTTGATAAATACTTGGTGAATAGAATAAATAAATATGATGAATAAGTTTTTGGAGACTTTCCTGGGGGGAAAAAAAACTAACCACTTACTCAGGATTCCAAACCAATACAAAACAGCTTTTTTCTTGGTTTCGAACCACATGTATAGTCATGTTCCTTGGGCAGATGAGTTCTCTTTCGTGAACCTTAGTTTTCTCACTGATTGGATCACAGTATTTCTGCTCCACAGGGTTATTGTGAGGAATAAATAGAAACATGTGCGAATCCTTTTTAAATGGAACAACGTAATACAGAATAGTAGACGTGGCTATTATCAGGCTGTTTGAGTAATTTGATTGTAAAGATGGGCTGTATATATTCTTGAAATTCTCAGGAACACCAAATTGTTTCTGCCTTTACAGAAATTAGCTGGGAGGAAGAGGCCAGTCAAAGGAATTCATTGAATTATTCATCAGATATTAACTGAACAGTTACTTTATGTTAGGGCCGACACATGCAGGATAAACGAGACCAGCACAGTTCCAGCTGTCAAGGCAGTGCAGTGAATTGGCGTGGACACGCATGGCGTGCTGAGAGCTGGAGGGTGAGAAGAGTGGCTCAGTAGAGAAAGGAGAGTGACAGTGTAGTGTGTTCAAAGACACTGGGTCATGGGTGGAGTCTCTGGGGTACATTTGAGACATCTTTCTGGGCTATATGTAACTATACCAACATAATAGTAATTGTATTTCTTTTTTATTTTATTTTTCTCCTTCCTAGTTTTGTCACTCATGTAAAGCTCAGTAATTGTAACACGTTCATAAGTAAGAACTGCAAATTTTACTCCAGAAAATTTAAAGGATAGCCTGTAATCCTAGCCCTCTGGGAGGCCGAGGCGGGCGGTTCATTTGAGCTCAGGAGTTTGAGACCAGCCTGAGCAAGAGCGAGACCCCATCTCTACTAAAAATAGAAAGAAATTAATCGGACAACTAAAAATATATAGAAAAAATTAGCTGGGCATGGTGGCGCATGCCGGTAGTCCCAGCTACTCAGGAGGCTGAGGCAGAAAGATCGCTTGAGCCCAGGAGTTTGAGGTTGCTGTGAGCTAGGATGACGCCACGGCACTCTAGCCCGGGCAACAGAGTGAGACTCTGTCTCAAAAAAAAAGAAACTAAAGAATAAAATCTAATGAAGCTCCAAAAATAAAACCTAAATAAAAAGAGCTATGATCTCAGATAGAAAGACTTAAAATCATAAATATTACTCTTTTCCCAGTTAATGTATAATTTGGGACTTTATTTTAATTTTGGAATTGGTCAAAATTATTTTAAAGCTTATATGAAAGTATGTCTGATGATAGAAAGCCAAGAAAAAAATTGTAAAGGATGGTTAGGGGAGACTTGCTGTAACAGATATCAGAAGTTACTGTGAAATAATTGTGATCAAAATTTGATGATATTGGCTCAGAAATAAACAGATAGATTAGAGGACATGAATAGAGTCCTGAAATAGAGGCAAGTGTATATGAAATCTTAATATCACATATTGAGAAATCATTTATTTAGAAAATGATATATAATTCATTGTGCTTCTGGGAAAAAACCAAACTAGACCCCCATATCACATAATATACAAAATAAATTCCAGATGGATTACAGATCTAAATTTAAAAGACAATATAAAAGTATTAGAAAAAAAACTTAGGAGAGCATTTGTCTAACCTTAGGATAATGGAGATCCTCTGGAAATACGTAAGATAAGGAATGGTAAATCCAAGAATTTTTGAAGGCCAAAATAAAGTCAGACAAATGCTATACTGAAGGAAAATAAAGAACACATGGGTAAAGAGTTACTATCCTAACAAAAAGCTCCTATAAACTACCAGGCACAGAGGCTAAGGCCTGCATTCCCAGCAACACAGGAGAATCACTTGAGGATGGGAATTTGAGACCAGCCTTGGCAACATGGTGAGAATAGAGCCTCTAAAAAAATAAGAAAAATTATCCAGGTATAGTGGCACATACCTATAGTCTCAGGTACTCAGGAGGCTGAGACAGGAGGATCCATTGAGCCCAGGAGTTCAAGGCTGCAGTGAGCTGTGGTCCTGCCACTGCACTCCAGCCTGAGTGACAGAGCAAGCCCTGTCTTTTAAAAAAAAAAAAAAACAGCTCCTATAAGCTCATAAGGAGAAGATAGTTGAATAGAAAAAATGGTAAAGGAGGAAGAGATGCCTCACGGAAAAAAAAATGGCTGTAAACAAGGAAATTAAAGGAAAATTAGGTATTCATTCTCACTCAAATTGGTACCATTTAAGAAGTACAGTTTACTGCTGGTGAGGATATGGGGATACAGGCACTCATACAATGCTAGTAGGACTGCGAATTGCTGTATCCCTTTGGGAAAGTAATCTGGCAATATTTATTAAAAATAAGTGTACCCTTTTACCTGGCAGTCCCAGGTGGAAGAATCCATCCTGTAGAAATATGAGCGCCAGTTAGTAAGGATTTGGTTTCAATAACAGTATAGCAACAATGTTCATGGTGGCAGGCAAAAAAAAAATAACAAGTTTTAATAATCACCAAGGAGGAATGATTGAACAAATTATATAGAACATTTATTCTGTGGAAATATACAGTTTTCAAAACATATGTTCAATTCATATTTTTTTGTCCATAATGATGAAACTGGTTGCTGAGAAAAATGTTTGTTATTATCATATTTTGGTTTTGTTTGCGTAAAAAGAAACCACAGTGTAAATTGGTGTGCAAACCACGGTAAAAGGAGTGGAAGTCGACACTGTTGGCAGATGGTACCTAGGGCTCTGAAGAGGAAGGTGCTAGGAAATCCTGTTAGCATTTACTTCACGGATAAGGTTCCTAGGATTGTTTGACTTCACAGCACGCATGAGCATGTATTACTTTCACAAGTTGAAAAGATGGAATAAGGGAAGTAAAGGAGGTGAATGGAAGAGTTTTACTTAATTCTAATTTACAAAAATAACTGTTCATTTGTTTTATATTTAAGTGTACTTTAAGTGTGGCCCATCTTTCTAGAAATAAACCAGAAATGTTACAAGTTATGATAAAAAGACACAGAGTACCCGAAAATAATTTCTTAATCTCTGGAGTGAAAATAGCCTTTGGGATTTACACATTTACTTTATAAATACATTTTAGGGTAGAGTGTAACTGGGTGCCTGCCTTGGTGAAGATTACCTAGAAGATTTTATAGTGATTTCTAGCCCACTTTTCAAAAAGAATTGAGCATTAATAAAAATAGAATTTTAAATCCATTCTAAGGAAGTGAAGAAAACAGTAATGCTAACCTTTATGTTCCCAAAACTCCTGCATTAAATATAGGTCTGTGCTTCTTAGCATTAAGGGAGGGGTAAAAGAGTAGGGAGAGAAAATAAGATTTATGCTGTCTCTTAGCAAAAGGTGAAACACACTCATTCCTTGAGGGGAGAAAAGTTTTCTTCCTTTCATCCAAATTCTGAAAGATACAAATCATGTGAGACCTTACGCAGGGCAATATTGCTTTCATAATCCAGGACATTCACAATTTTGTCACAAATTCAGAAGCTGCTATTCTGTGACTTTTGTTAAAAAGCTTAGGCTGATAATTAGCCGGGCATGGTGGCGCATGCTTGTAGTCCCAGCTACTCGGGAGGCTGAGGCAGGAGGATCACTTGAGCCCAGGAGTGTGAGGTTGCTGTGAGCTAGGCTGACGCCACGGCACTCACCGTAGCCAGGGCAACACAGTGAGACTCTGTCTC